GATAAGGAAATTACATGTTTAAAAAAACTTACATTTGTTCAGAAGCTGTGGTCTGACCCAGTGTTCTTCATTCTGATCCAGACTGAGAAAACAAAAGCAGGAAAAAGAATAAAAAATTGATCGTTCCAAACCTCAAATGATAGATGTTGGGAATCAATATAAAAAATAGAAATCCAAAGTGAATATCTACCCCTCTCATCTTTGTATTAGTATTTTAAATTGTTTGTTTTTAATGACAAATAACATTTTAAAGCACAAGCAATGGGTTGTTTAAATTCAGGCATTTTTTGTTTATGTTTAAATCCAAAACAACGAAAGGAAATTACTTCAGTTTTACCCTTTTCACTTACATTCCCAGCATTAAGAAAAGAAAAAACAGAAAACAATTAACAAAAATATTAAACCATTTTTTTCCCAGTTTGATTTAATTATTTTTGAAAAATGCTTTTTGAAGTTGGGTTTTGAATCAGTAATATATAAATAAACTGAATTAATGTGTAAATGTCAGATGGTATTTTAGAGGTTTTTTATCACTATGTTATTTTGTGCAATAGTATTTTAAGCAGTGTTTATTTATAGTAACACCACTATTAGTGTAAAGAATACAGAAAACCAACTCGAGTATTTCCAGTCTGCATTTTGGGTCCTTCAGTCTCTCAAGGAGCACCATCATTCCAGACTCTCCAGGGTGGTTATAGCTGAGGTCCAGCTCTCTTAGATGGGAAGGGTTGGACTTCAGAGCTGAAGCCAAAGAAGCACATCCCTCCGCTGTGATCCCACAGCATGCCAGTCTGTAGAAAAGAAAAGGCAAACACAAAAAAAAAAAAACAGATTAAATTGCTTGCAAGCTACTTCTAGAATGTCTCTGGGAATCAAAGGCATCTGCATGCCAGCAATGAAACCCTCTCATTAAGACTTTACTGCAATATCATCAAGATACCTCCTAGGATGATGGTAGTCAAAAAGTATGTACCACCCACAGTGCCACTTATTCATTAATTAATAGTTCAACTACATGGAAAAAACACAGTAATTTTAACATCTTATCCAATAGCTGCTGATCTATCTAAAAATATCACATCTGCAATATTAGTCTGAAGTATTTGTAAACTTTGTTCATGTCTTACCCGCTAATACTGGAAGCAAATTGACAGTGATTGGCCATGTTAAGGTTTGGCCACACTTCATTAGGATGCCTTCTCTATAACCTTGGATGCACTGCATCTATCCTCCTACCTGAGTGATCAGGTGAACGCTCAGCTCCTCTTTTCACTCTAATGTTCAAAACATGTGGTTGCAATCAGATCAAAATTTCTAAATAAATTAACCCACACTAGAAGTGTCTGTTCACCTGGTTTAATAATTTGTTTTTTAGGAAAAAAGTTTGCATTATAAATTGACGATGAGGAGTACTGAGGTCTGTATCACTTTGGGTTGGGCAATCCTGTCCAACAATATTTAATTTCTTTTATTACTATGACAGACGGTGAATCCGTTTGCCAAGTGAAGTTTTTTTTAGTAGGATTCCACCAAAGGAGTCAATGAGGACCTGCTTTAATGCACATGGGACAGAACCTCTTTCACCACCCAATGTCATCCATCCTGTTATCTACCTGCACAAATTGCATCAAATGTTCATCAGAAAAAGAAAGTTATCAGTAAGTTGGTCTTAGCTCAACAAAACTACCTCAGGGAAACTTTAAAGCTGAACTGATTGTGTTTTTAGGAAGTTTCTTGCAGAGATAGTGATATAAGATGGTGAATTGATGTTACACAGTAATCGCTCAATCTCTCCAACCCACTCTAAAGTAAGGGTGTGCAAAATAATCGTCATGACGATGCTTCGCGATTCTAATTTTTGTGATCTACTGCATCGATTCCTGAAGGCAAGAATCGATCATAAAAAAAAAATGAACAAATAAAATACATGTTGGTTGGCGCACATCAGCCAAATCAAGTGGAATACAACTTCCAGTCCAGCAGATGTTGCTGCGGATGTGTAGACGCCCGCTGCTTTGTGTCACAAGCATGTCCGGCCATGGGATACTGTGACGAGTCATATGAAATAAAACATGGAGGACACTATGAAAATCCATCACATTTCAAGTCAGATGTTTGGATTTATTTTGGCTTTAAAAACAAAAAAGGTAAAAATGAAATTGATATGATGCACGTAATTTGCAAAAGGGGAAATATACATTTGAATGTTTTCGTTTCTTTGGTTTAAAGGACCACTGAGGCCATGTAAACGGCACTGATTATCCTTATTTTTTTATTTAAACTTTAATGAATCCTAAGATCTTTTTGTCAG